GTGGGAGAAATTTGGCATTGAACTCCCTCTCAAAGTTTGCCCAAGTCCAGGGGGTTTGTTCTCTTTTCCACTTTGCCCTAATAACGTTCTACCACGAGCGGGCTGTTCTCTCAAACTGAAAAATAACAAAATTAACTTGTCTTTCCTCGGCTTAGTCTAAAGCAGTAAAAATTTCCACCATCCTTTCCAACCAATTCTCCGCTACCTCGGGATCAGACCCTCCATGAAACCTAGATGGAGAGAACTTCAAGAAACACTCTAAAGCTCTATCCTCACCCCTCTCCTGGTTCCTAAGTTGGTTGACTGGTTCAGGGCCTTGACGCTCAACTAAACGCTCAAGAACATCAGTTATACGGTTAATGGTCGTAACCACTTAGTCACCTTCTTTGTTCCTAGGATTTTGGTTTGGATCAATCACAGATCCCTCATCTCTCTCGGGAGTACGGGGTTGCCGAAACCCATGCCTACGCTTCTATCCACGTCCTCGTCGATCCATTTACCAAGATTCTAAACGCATAATAAAAGAGAAAAATAAGCGTAGAAATTTAAAACAAGAACAGATTGCAAGAACGCTTTAAAACCAAAGCATAAATATTTACATAGATTAGAAGTCATGTCCCTTGTTAAAAGTGCATACAACAAGTCAGTGATATCAAATACAAGATATAGGCATCCAAATGCCTCAAAATACAGGGGTACGTGCACAAAATACAAAAGGCCTCACAGTGAGGTTCACCCCAACTAAGTCCTGAACAAAAGTCAAAAGATCAAGAGATCTCTAATACAGGTGGACCGAACTAGAAGATCCTACAGCCTTACAAGGGTCCTCTTCGGGGTCCTCCTCAAGATCCTCTTCCATCGGTGTAATCTCCACCTTCACAGCAGGTGCAGTCTCCCCAGATACATCTCCAAGCAAAGCCTCCTTTAGATGCTCGGTCATAGTCACACACTCGGCTATAATACCGTCCACGCGGACCCCTCCTCCTGGACAATCTGGATAAGAAACCCCTCAGTCTCCTGAAACTGTGCATGGGAGGCATCAACCCTCTGACGCTCCTCAAGAACTCTCGCCTCTAGCTCTTGGATCCCTGCAGTCTGGGCCTCCATAGTGGCCTCCATCTCCTTTCTCTCCGCTAGTGCTATCCGGAGATCATGAGTCAACTGCCTCTGCTCCTCAGCTACTCCTATCACCAGACGGTTAGGGTAAGAGTATCTCGTTCGGCATTGGCACGACTACCTTGCCTAGCAGGTGAGCAGCGCAGAAGGGGTCCGTCTCTAATCCTGCGATACGTGATCACGAGGAGAGGTTCCTGAACCCTATCATCATCACTGCTGCTGTTCATATCCTACAAATAACTCACAACTAAAGGCTAGACCCTTACATTCACTGATACCATTTAAGAATTTAACCTAAGGTCTACCACGGGTTTCTATGACCAAAAGTTCACGACTAAGAACTCTTAACCCTATTCCAGATATTTTAAACCTAGCGCTCTGATACCAACTGTGACGTCTCCACCTCTCCCTAGGGCGAACCCTAGGGTATCAGCGGAATGCCTGCCCAACTCACGTCAGGACTCACACACTCATTCAAGCTTAATATAGAGCCATAAAGCATCCAACGACTTAAAATAAATACTTCGAATATACAACCCACAACTTCTAAGGTTAACCATTATAATTACAATCCACTAACAAAGAGTAACAAAAGTTACACTTTAAGAGCCATCAAATTCATACAAAATATACTAGTCTCTACCAAAACGCTAGTCTATATCCTCTAATCCACCTCCGAATCCTATTAAGGAAAACAAATTTAAAGGGATTAGCGAACGCTCAGTGAGGCCAAGAAAATAAACAGGCAAGTAAGTAATACCAATAACTCAAATAACATGCTTTAAACAACTTTTAAACATGACATTTCATTTAAGTGCACAAGTTGGAAGTAACACGCATGGAAGGATACAGAAGCTCTTAGGAGAGTTACTTGAATTAAGAGTATGAGCATTTTTCGTTGAGGGTTTCTAATTTTAGAAAGTTAGGGTTTTAGTGGCTGTTCTTGGAATCTGGCCGACATGGCCTTTTCTTTCCTCTGCTTCGGGGGAAGGGGCTCTTCTGGCTGCGGCACAGGCTGGTGTTGGCCAGTCATTTGTGGATGTGGTGGGCTTCCAGGCCAAGTCCTTCGCGTCGCTGCCTTCGACTTCCGTGGCACCTCGAGTAAAGGCTGTGGTATCTACCCACAGAAGGGAACCTGCGGTGAGTTTCGACATAGTGGACATCGAGTGAGTTGTGACTTCTTTTCAATTTGCATTGGTGGGGAAATTTTCCAGGGGGCGGCCGCCTACGGAAGACTTGCGGAAGTTCTTCCATGCTTTGGACTTAGCCGCTGAGTTTGCTATCGAATTACTGGACAAACGGCACATCTTGATTAGGTTGATGACTGAGGTTGATTACTACAGAGTTTGGGCTAGAGGTATTTAGTATATCAAAGAGTCTCCCATAAGAGTGTTTAAGTGGTCCATTGATTTCCATGTGGATAAAGAGACCTCTGTTGTTCCCGTGTGGTTTGCATTGCCGAAGTTGCCGGTGTACCTGTTTCACAAGAAATGTTTGTTCCCTATTGTAGCTTGCTTAGGGCAGCCATTATGTGTGGACACAGCTACCGCATAGAGAACGTGACCTAACGTGGCTAAAGTATGCGTTGAAGTTGATTTGATGAAGGAATTTCCTAGCCGGGTTTGGATTTCCTTTGGTGAGCGTGTTGGCTTTTGGCAGCCATTGGTACCAGAAAATTTACCCAAATATTGCAGGCATTGTTTCTATCAGGGCCATAGTGAGGAGGAGTGTAGGATTAAGCATCATGTTTTGAAGTTAGAGCCGCCAAGAGGGGGAAGCCACGGGGAACGCAGGGTTTGCAAATGTACTAGCCGAGGGAGAAGATGGCATCTGGCACGATTTCTGGAGTAGTTAAGGATAGATAGGAAGAGGTAGAGCCTTCGTTTGCTACAGGCACCGTTGTTGGGGTCACAGGTGTGCCCATGGTGAAGGCTCCTTTGATCCAGAACAAGGTAGCTGGGTCGGGGGGTCTGCCCATGGCCATACAGCGGAGTGGCAGCAGTCGCAGGGGCTAGGGGAGTGTGATGGTGATGTCGCTGCCCAGGTTTCTAGCGGGAATGAATTATGGGTGATTGGTGGGTAGCATGATGAGGGTAAATTGGCTGTGAGCATGCATGAAGAGGGCACTGCGGAAGTTGGGTAGGGTCAGGAGGTAGGAGGGGAAGAGGGTAATGGGTAGGCCGTCATGGTAGCAGCTATAGAGATGGTAGAGCACGTGATTGTTGCGGTTACGGACAGAATCATTGTGGACCTTGCGGAACGAGTGGCGAGTGAAGCAGCGACCGTGGAAGGGGAATGCGGCCTCGTGGCTATTGGGATGTTGGAGAGAGCATCTTCGAAGGATATCACTGGTGCTGGCGGCCTGTCGCCACGTGGTGTCGAAGAGCAGCATGGTGAAACGCGAAGTATAGCTTTGACATTGAACCTTGACCGGGTTGCCGCTCTTGAGCAAGATAGGAGAAATGCGAAAACGAAAGGGATACAGGCCATGGCCCCGTCGGACAGAGAGCTAAGGTCGGTATCCAAGAAGTCTCAAAATTCTTTCCATATTTTGTCGCATGATTAGTGCATGTTTCTGGAATATTCGGGGGATCTCAAACCCCCCAAATCTTAGAAGACTTAAGAATCTTGTTCATCTGCATAGGATAGCGATTGTGGGTATTTGTGAGCCTAAATTATCTAGGCATGAAGCTGACTCAATTCGGATGAGGTTGAATTTTGATTACGTAGTGTGTAATTCGTCTGGGGATTTGTGGGTGTTTTACAATTCTCCATTTGTTAGCCAGGTGATTGGGGAATCGGACCAGCATTTTTCTATTCGTTAGGCACATCTCCAGTTCCCTGCTCCTATACTAGTCTCTTTTGTTCATGCTAAGTGTCTTGTGACTGAGCGATAGCAACTCTGGGAGGGTTTGTTACAGGATATGCCCGGGCGGGGTCCATGGTGTGTTGTAAGGGATTTTAATCTCGTTCTCTCCAGTAGTAAAAAGAAAGGAGGGAGGCAGTTTCGACCGGCGGAAGGGCTTGAACTTTCCCAGTTTATGAGTGAGGGGGTGTTCGACGCAGGTTTCTCTGGCAATAGTTTCAATTGGTGTAGTAATAGATTAGGGCGGGGCGGGCATCTGGAAACGGTTGGATAGAGTGTTGCTTAATATGGAGTGTCTGAATTTTTCCCTATCAGTGTCCGTGTCTCATTTAGTGCGCGCTCCATCTGACCATGCTCCGCTTCTCATCTCATTGGCACCTAGAGTTGATTGTAGCTGTCGATCGTTTCAATTTTTCAACGTTTGGCCTTCCAAAGAGGAGTTCTTGGACGTGGTTAAGATAGCTTGGCAGTTGGAGATGTCTGGGTCCCCATTTTCTGTGGTATGGGGAAAGTTGAAGAATGTCTCTCGGGCTCTTCACCTCTGGAATAAATAGGTGTTTGGGGATATGTTTGAGAATGTTAAGAAGGGGGAAGGGGAGGTGGTGGTAGCAGAGTTGCGTACACAGGTTGATCTATCCGATGAGACCCACTTGGAGCTCCAGAGGGCTCAGGCTAACTTGAAGAGGCAGTTAGCAGTTGAAGAGCAGTATTGGAGTCAGAAGGCCAGGGTCAAGTGGCTACAACATGGTGATCGGAATTCAAGCTACTTTCATTCGGTGGTCAAGCAACGCCGGTTTCATTCTAGAATTCACAAGATTCAGGATTCTGTGGGTGAATGGGTGATGGACGATGAAGGGATTGAAAGAGAGGTTGTCCGGTATTTTAGTAAAGTGTTCTCGGCTGACCCTGTGTCCGAGTTTCAGCTTTTGCATGTTATTCCTAACCTTGGGGACGTTATAGATAACACGAGGTTGAAGGAGGTCCCTTCTTTGGAGGAGGTGAAGGGGTGATCTTTGGGATGGATGGAGATAGTGCCGCTGGACCAGACGGATTTACAAGAAAATTTTTTATGAAGGCCTGGGAAGTGGTGGCTCACGATGTGTACAAGATGGTTGTGAGTTTCTTCTGTGGTGCTGAACTATCGCGGTTCATTACGGCTACGTCTATTGTTCTTTTGCCCAAGGTCATGAATCCTAAGGACTTTACTCAGTTTTGTCCTATTAGTGTGAGTAATTTTTTGAATAAAGTTATTTCTCGGATTTTGGTGGGGAAGTTGTCTGGTGTGTTACCTCGGCTCATTTCTCCTCAGCAAAGTGGTTTTGTTAAAGGACGGTCAATTACGGATAATTATTTGCTGGGTCAGGAGCTGATGTCGGAGATGGGAAGGAAGTGTAGAGGGGGAATTTGGTGTTGAAGTTAGACATGGCTAAGGCGTATGATAGAGTTTCCTGGCCATTCCTTATTGCAGTTCTGCGGCAGTTTGGCTTTGGCGAAAGGTTTATTGATATGGTGTGGCGGTTAATCTCCAATGTTTGGTTCTCTGTTTATCATCGGTGCTGAGGTTCTTTCTCGGGCCTTAAATGATCTCTGTTCCCAGTCACGTGGCGTGGGATACAAGGTACCGAGACACTGCCCTTCTATGTCTCATTTGGTGTTTGCTGACAACGTTATTATTTTTGCCAATGGGGGTGCTGATTCGTTAAGGCGGGTCATGCGTATTTTGACTTCGTGCTAGAGTGACTCGGGCCAGTTGGTTAATGTGCAGAAGAGTGGCTATTTAGTACACCCGTGGATCACAGTAGCCCGTAAAACGGTAATTGAGCGGGTTACTCAGTTTCAAAGGACACAGTTTCCGGATAGGTATCTGGGTACTCCTTTGTTTATTGGCAGAGTCAAGGAGGCGTATTATTCGGATTTGTGCCAGAAGGTTCTTGATAAGGTTCTCTCTTGGAAGTCCCGTTTGTTATCCTTTGGGGGAAAGCATATTTTGATTCGGCACGTTCTGTCCAGCATCCCGGTTCATTTATTGGCGGTGGGTGTTATTCCAAAAGGCACTTTCAGGTTGATTGAAAAGGTGTGTGTTGACTTCTCTCGGGGGCGGGGGACGATAGGAAGAAATTCCATTGGATCCGTTGGCGGGACTTGTATTATCCAACAGATGAAGGTAGGGTTGGGTTTCGGTCGTTCGTTGACATGTATAAGGCCTTCTCGTGTAAATTGTGGTGGAATTTTCGGTGTGGGATCTCCTTGTGGGCGAGATTCTTGAATGCTAAGTATTGCAAGGGGCTTCACCTCTGCCAAATTTGTGCGTCTACTTTAGGTTCGGTAACTTGGAAGAGAATGTTAGATATTCAGGAGTTGGCAAAGTTGTTTATTGGGTGGAGCCTGTAAGAGGGTCGATGTAACTTCTGGTATGATAATTAGACTGGCCACGGGGCTCTCTATCTGAGGATGGGGGTGCGAGAGGACGTATCATTTCTCACCATTACGGAGGATGGGGAATGGGTGGCGTGGAAGCTAGCGGAAGTCCTTCCTTGTGACATGGTACAACAGGTATTGGCGGTGGTGGGGCCGGATAGGGACTCCCCTGATACAATGCTTTGGCTTGCGTCGAGCTCGGGTCAGTTTTCGATATCGTCCGCGTACAGAGAGATTCAAGAGATGAAGCCTTCGTCGTTCCTATTTCGCCAAATTTGGCATTCGAGCCTCCCCCTGAAGGTGTCCTTCTTTATGCTTCGATTGTTGTCTAATCGCCTTCCCATGGATGACGTGTTGGCCGCACATGGGTTTCAGTTTCCTTCCAAGTGTTCATGTTATCTGGTGTCCAGTACCGAATCCCCACGTCATTTGTTCTTGGAGGGGGAACTTGCAACTGCGGTCCGGCGGTTTTTTGGCTCGGTAGGTGGGTTGGCTATGAATTTCGGCCATGTTCGGGTTTGGTTGATTAGTTGGTGGCTCAAGCCGGTAAGATCGGAGAAGCTTCGATTTGTGTTCCAGATCTTGCCTACTTTTGTCTGTTGGTATATTTGGAAGGTTAGGTGCACAGCGGTATTCCAGGGGTCAGTGCAGCGGCCTACGGAGGTGTGTCAGGCCATCTTTTACGAATTAAAGGATATTTTTTGCTCAAATTCGGGGAGGTACATCGGGCGGTGGACTGGCCTACGTTCTTGGAGTTGGTAGAGTGTAGGCCAGATGCAGTTTTCGTGCGTCGGGTTCGGTGGTTCGCTCCATGCACTGGCAGGGTCAAGTTCAATATTGATAAGTATTCAAAAGGTAACCCAGGGGTGAGTGGCAGAGGGGGATTCTTCGAAACTCTACAGGTAGTAAGGTATTTGCATTTTCCGATTATTTTGGAAGATGTACCAGTTTGCAGGCAGAGGCCAAAGCTTTATTGCTCGGGCTGCAGATGTGTGCTCAACGGGGCTTTGGTGGTAATCTGGTGGTGGAGACAGATTCTTTGATGTTGCAACGTATTCTTCTGAAGCAGTGCCAGAGTCCTTGGTCCATCAGTGTTGAGGTGGGGAAGATTGAGCTACTGGTCGAGGGAAGCTGTCAATTCGTACATTGTTACAGGGAAGCAAATAAGGTTGCGGATATATTGGCAAATATTGGATCAACACATCATCAGCATGTGGTGTATGTCTATGAAGGGATTGCGGATTTACCCAAATTAGCTAGGGGTGCTTATCGGTTGGATCTGCTTGGTTTTCCTTCCTTTCGCAGGTTTAGGGTCACAGGTGCTATTCTCAAAATGTAATCCCTCACTCGCTTGTACTACTCCTTTGGTCTAATAAAATAATAAATGTTCTTCAGTAAAAAAAAAATTAATCATATAAGAATTAGCAAAACATAAATTTGATTAGTAGTCCACCAAACTTCAAGTGTAAAATTTTATCTGTGTTTAGTGTAATTATCTTGGTTATTTACAAATTTTAAGTGCAAAAAATTATTAAAAGCAATATTTGTCTTTGAAAATAAATTATTTAATATGTTATTTTTTAAATCTATTTTATAACTTCCAAAATTTGGGGGGTCATAAGTTTTTTATTAAAAGATTCTAAATAAATTTGTTTTAGAGAAATAAAAAAAGAATAAAGATAGAATTGAGAAAATGTTAATATAGTAGAAGAAGGCTAGTTAACTAACATATGGCAAGTGGTCTAGTGGTGACTACGTTATAGATACATGCCTAAAGTCTCAATTTCCGGGTTTTCAATTTAATCCGGTTGAACTATTGGGTCATTAACCGGTCAACAATTCTGTACTTAAATGGTCCAATTAGAGACCCAATCCAGTTCAATGATTGGTTCATCGGGTTGATCGATTCAACCGCTAGATCGGGTTGAGTTTAATAACTATGCTATAATTACACGATCCAACAGAGGAATAGTTGCTGCCTACTAAGCGAATATCTCTCAACCCATTTTCACCACTTTTGCAGATTGTGGAGATTATGAGTTAGTTTATGTTGAAAAACATGAAGATGATTTCTATTAGATCCTTAGTGGATAGGAGATAGCGAGTGAGATAGCAAGGAAGATAGTACTTGGTTGTTTTGTAGTAGCGGATGCTTGTAGATGTTATCTTTATTAGATTTAGAGCATATAGACTCCTCAGTTAATTATGGGATGTTTCTCGATTCGAATTTGTACCACACTATACATAAATAGAGTCATGCCCTTTCTTAGACCTAGGTAAGCCAAGAATGAAGTCCATGGAAAGATCTACCCAAGGTGCATCAGGAATTGGTAAAGGCAAGTATAAACCATGGGGTTGTACCTTAGATTTTGCCTTCTTGCATACTATGCATCGGCTCACCACCTTTATAAATCACGCCTCATCTGTGGCTAATGGAAATGCTCCTGCAACATAGATAGAGTCTTACCAACTCTGAAATGTCCCATTAAACCATCTCCATGTGCTTCTTTTACGAGTAAGAGTCGAATGGAACAATTAGGGATGCAAAGGCGATTTAAGTAGAATAGGTAATCATCAAAAACTGAGTAATTTCCTTGGGCAGCTCGAGAGCAATTCTGGAATGTGTCACCAAAGTCGGTATCACTCACATACATATCTTTGAGTAGCTCGAATCCAAGTAACTTAGCATCAAGAGTAGTGAGTAGAGAATACCTGCGGGATAGTGCATCGGCTACTATGTTACTCTTACTACTCTTATACTTGATGACGAACGGGAATGTCTCGATGAAAGTAACCCAGCGCACATGCCTCTTGTTAAGATTGTGTTGTGCCTTCAAGTTCTTGAGGGACTCATGATCGGTGTGTACTATGAACTCCTTGGGTCTCAAGTAGTGCTGCCATACTCGTAGTGCTCGAACCAAGGCATATAGTTCCTTGTCGTAGGTCGAGTAGTTCAATGCTGCTCCGTTGAGTTTCTCACTAAAGTACGCAACAAGCCTTCCATCTTGCATCAACACGGCTCCAACTCCTATCCCTGAAGTGTCACATTCAATTTCAAAAGCTTTAGTAAAGTCAGGGAGGGTTAAAATGGGTGCATGTGTTAACTTATCCTTTAGCGCTTGAAAGGCTTGCTCTTGTTCCTCCCCCCAGATGAACCTCTCGTTTTTCTTGATGAGTGCAGTGAGAGAGGCGGCCAGGGTGCTAAAATCCTTCACAAATCGCCTGTAGAAGCTTGCAAGTCCATGGAAGCTACATACATCCCCAACGGACTTAGGGGTTGGCCACTCTTGGATAGCCTGTACCCTGTGCATTGATCACAAATTCTAAAAACACAAGGCAGTTAGTACAAAAATTGCACTTCTTGAGATTAGCGTATAGCTTCTCTCTTCGAAGTGCATCCAAAACAACTTTTAAATGTTCAAGATGCTCTTCCATGCTACGGCTATAAATAAGGATATCGTCAAAATAAACTACTACAAATTTTCCTAAGAATGGTCTCAAGACATGGTTCATAAGCCGCATAAAAGTGCTAGGTGCATTGGTTAACCCGAAAGGCATTACTAGTTATTCATACAAATCATACTTAGTTTTGAAAGCACTTTTCCATTCATCTCCTTTCTTCATTTGAATTTGATGGTATCCACTCTTTAAGTCAATTTTGGTCAAAATGACTGCACCATGTAACTCATCAAGCATATCATCTAACCTAGGTATAGGGTGACGATACTTTACCGTTATTACGTTTACAGCTCGGCAGTCGATGCACATGCTCCATGCACCATCCTTCTTAGGTACTAGAATCACCGGCACCGCGCAAGGGCTCAAACTCTCTCTCACCCATCCCTTGCCTAGCAACTCGTCCACTTGACGTTGTAGCTCCTTTGTTTCCTCAGGATTGCTCTTGTAGGCCGGACGATTAGGTACGGTTGCTCCAGGTACAAAGTCTATTTGGTGTTCAATCCTGCGAATGGGTGGTAAACCACTTGGAATATCCTC